TTTAAATACAGGTAGTATAGCTTTATCTTCATCATGTGCTGTCTATAACATTGTCAGGTTTTTACACCATATCCCTCAGTTAATCGATGGTTTATGTATCCAGCAGCGCTCTTTATTCTTTAATATTAACATCCATCCACCCCAGCTGGCACACATCTTTGTTCTAAAGCTGAATCAATGCTGAAGTCATCTTTTCAATGTTGAAATGACAACTAGTGCCAGCTGGGATCTCTCCTTAGAAAAATGGTGAGCTCCTTGTGTACGGGTCCCCCTCTCTGCTGAATAAAATTGTCTGGCATTAGCCAAGTAAGATATTAAGAATGGTGACCCCACAGTGAACGGGTTAAGAACGGTGTTTGAATTACCCGGTACATTTAAAGCAAAGTAATATATCAGCAAAATTCATTCATTTTTATTTTTTTTAGTATAATCAGAAAGATGCTAATAAGATCTATATACAGTGGTCCCTCAGTTCACGAACGCCTCGGTTATCGAAATTTTGGTTTACGAATTACCTTCCATAAGAATCTTCATTTTGGTTAACGAACAAAAATTCGGTTAACGAAATTCTTACGAAAACGTGTCAACATGTTTTGGCTTGCTCACCAGCTGGAAGATTAGTCCGCCAATACAGTAATCGGTTCTAGGGCTTATATTCGTTTCCATTGGAGTAAATATCAAGAAGGTTGTGTTATTCAATATTTTTCCAAGTCTTATATTAAAATTATTAGTTATTTTAACACTTATTTAACATAATTGCAGTACAGGGAACTAGTTTTTGGTGCACCCATCAGCCACTTCACTCACCCACCAAGGTATCAGTTTGTGTCTGTTCAGTGGAGGAAACATCTTGCTTGTGGGTCTCTTGAACACAGAGTATTTTTACGTTTTTACAGTACAATTATTGGTCATTCTGAAATATATTTAACATACTGACAATATATAGCACAGTGCAGTGTTGATTTAAATAAAATAATCTTGAATTACACCTAGTGAACTTAAAATTTTATTGGTGAAATGACTGCATCAAGCATGGGTCCCCTGAAAGGTGATTTTTCTCCATCCCCACTTCCTTCTCTTCTCCCTTCTCCTCCACCCCCACTTCTAATTCCCATCATCATCATCATCAACCAGGAGCCTTCTACATACACACCTCAAAGTAAGTGTACTTTACTGCATTTTTTTACATTGTATGTACTTTTCTGTGAGCTGGAACTAATTACCCAATATCCCATTGAAACAATAGATTCGGTTAACGAACGACCTTCTGGAACTAATTGTGTTCGTTAACCGAGGGACCACTGTATACTGTACTATATTGGAGAAACTTATGGTCTGCAGATATTTATATCGATGCCTTGTTAGAACCAGCATAATATTTTTATATTTTATTTTATTTTGAAGCTCTAAAACATATACATTTCCCATTTTAGACTTCTGCTTAAGATGAAATATTCTGAACTGATATACTGGTACTCAGAATATTAATTTTCATGTTTTTTAAGAATACCCGGAAAAATACTTGAACCGCGTATGTAGGAAATGTCCTTTGTAGCTTTAGTATGAAAATTATTTTAAAAATTCATAAAAGTGAATCATACAGAATAATTAAAGGCATTGATTTTCATTCTGAACTTATTTTTATAAATCTTTAATTTTGGTATACAGGTAGTGTATACCAACCTTGTAATTTTAAAACACAGTATATTGCACCATTATCACAAGGAACAAATTAATAATACAGTACAGTACAGTACATGTACTATAAACTGAATTCTCATCTTAAAGAAAAAATACCACTCATATATCCAAAGTTTTAACACATTGTACACAGTTGGTTATAAAGACTGTACAGGTATTATTTATTTATACTGTATAGCACTACATTATACAGCCTGCCAAGCCACAACACAAATAAGACCCCAATTGCTCTGTCTATGTAATCTCTAACCATGTAATAGTCTGCCTATCTTTTTTTATATACAGTATATACTTAAAAAGAAGCCTTACTACTTGTTTGGTTTGTGTGAGGTCATGTGCTGATATACTTATAAATGTCAATCCTCAGCTCAAGGGCAGTATTATTATCACACATTGAACTTATTGCACTGTTCACAAGCCCTGTACGGTGAAACCGTTAATGCTATGTAATAACAATATACTCTGTACATATCTTAGGAATATATATTTAATAAAAGTGTTATACATTATAAGTTTATCTATTCCTTATACAGTACCGTAATGCTAGTACAGTACAATGATAATGAATAGTGTGTGTGTGTGCACGCACTTCTCTCTACAGGGTGGTGTAATGCGTCTAGTGTGGCAGCATTAGGTTAGTGTTAAGGTGCATGCACTGCTTGCTGCTTCTCGCTTTTAGCTACCGCCACTGGCTAGCCCTCGTGGCGAACAGGGAAACAGCCTTGTGTAAGTCTTCCCCTGACAGTACACAGCCTCTTCACCATCAAGACTCCTGCTGTGCCTCCTCGTGGCAACAAACGGTAACTGGGTGCCTTGCAGCCCCAGGCTAGACCAGCAGAAGATCTCGGAGCAGCAGTGTGCCCCAGAGGTACGGCACATAGGCCCACTGGCATGTGGACATGCCCTGGCGCCTACCAACCACTGCCCCACTGCCTTGCAGGTTAACCTTAGTAGGTATAAGGCTACAGGAGTAAACCCTGAATGAACAGTTTGTGGTGGAGTTCCATATCAGGCAGACATGCTTACAGAGCTCCAGTAAGACCCCAGCAGCTGAATAGGTGTCTGTTCAGTGGAGGAAACATCTTGCTTGTGGGTCTCTTGAGAGTATTTTTATGTTTTTACAGTACAATTATTGGTCATTCTGAAATATATTTAACATATTGACAATATATAGCACAGTGCAGTGTTGATTTAAATAAAATAATCTTGAATTACACCTTGTGAACTTAAAATTTTATTGGTGAAATGACTGCATCAAGCATGGGTCCCCTGAAAGGTGATTTTTCCTCCATCCCCACATGGGTAGGGGGCTAGAAAAGGTGCCCTATACATGACCTGCTTAAAACCAAACTGACTGGGCAACCGCATCCAGTAAGGTCATCCTAATATGGTCAAAAACACAATCACAGATCAAAGCAAAAACGAATCTACAATCTCTTATGGTCACTTCATGGAATGTCAGGACCCTTCTGGATACTGGTACAAATAAGAGTGCTAGGAAGAACCGCCCTTGTGGCAAAAGAGCTGTCCAGGTACAGTTTCTAAGAAAACGTATCTTTACTGGGGGGTTCAATGAATTTTAGAAGGAACACTACGACACCTGTTGTTTTGGTAGGGTTGTCAAAATTCTTCATCCGTTGTGTCATATTGTTTAAGATATTTTTTTGTAAAGATAGTGTTTTGATTGACTGTACAACATCGACGTAGCAGCCATTGGTGAATCCTGGCTCCCAGACGAAGGTCATCTCACAGAATGGGTAATGCTATACCTTCTCCTGAAAGGATAAGCTTGGTGTGGAGAGAAACCGGATTTATGGAGTTGGTTTTGCCATTCGCCAATCCATCCTACATAGGGTAATTGAAATGCCTGTTGGGGTCAACGGGTCCCACTGAATTACTCACTTCATGCTTTCTTCATCAGTGCATGCGCCCAACACTGGATGCAGAGGATAACATCAAGAATGTTTTTTACGTCGACCTTGACAGAGTGTTAACCTCTATTCCCAGAGAAGATAAGATTGGATTGTGCTCTTAGGTGACTTCAATGCCAGAGTTGGCATAGATGCTGACTTATGGCAGGGAACCATAGGGAGAAATGGAGTTGGTACCGGGTAAGTGTAATCCCACCGCAGCAAGTGTGCTGAACATAACCTATCACCAACACCTTGTTTAGGCAGGTCGACGCGTTGAAGGGTTTTTGGCAACACCCACGATCCAAACACTGGCATCTCATTGACAACATTGTTGTCAGAGAGAGATTGCCGAGATGTTCTCATCATCTCAGCCATGCGTGGCTCAGACCACTTTGACATACAGTTACGTCATCGGCTCATCAGAGCCAAACTCCCCTCATGTCGTCCCAAAACGCCGAAGCCAAAAGCCTCCAGAAGAGGTTTTAACACCAAGCGACTAGAGGATCACGCAGTAAAATATCTTTCAGAGAGAAGCTCGACGATGGGCTGATAAACAAACCAATAACAAAAAACCTAAGTCTGAATGCCGAATGGGGTATCCTGAACACTGTCATCACAAAAACCTACAGTGAGATCCTCAGCCAGATCGAAAAAAATAAACACATAAAGATTGGCTTGATGAAAATAATCAGGAAATCGACGTACTCTTTTGTGATGTAAAGGATGAATGGTGGAAAACTAAAGCGTGTGAATTTTGTGGATCAATATAGATGTGGGACTTTTTCAATTCAACTAAGCAATGTATGGTCCAACTAATGGCATGGCCCCTTCTGCTCATCCAATGGTAACTCCCTAATTAAAGATGTTGAAGGCAGTTGTCAGCACTGGAAAGAGCACTACCATTCCCTGCTCAACCGAAACACCCCCAAAGACCCTTCCAAGACCAGTGGCGACCCCAGGGGCCCTGTAAGGGCTGCAGCGCTCCCAGAGGCCAACCCATGGGCAGCGGCAACCCAAGAGGCCCAACCAACAGCGGCGGCGCCCCTAGGGGCCTTCCCAGGTACAGTGGGGCCCCTAGGGGCCTTCCCAGTACAGTGAGGCCCCTAGGGGCATTTTCCAGTGGCGGTGGCGCCCCAAAGGGCCCTCCAAAGGACGGTGGCGCCCCCAAGGGCCCTCCCAGGGGCTACGGCGCCCCCAGGGGCCTTCAAAATGGCGGCGGTGCACTCAGGGGTCCTGCCAGGGACAGCTGCACTTTAGGGTGCCCTCCCAGGGATTGCAGCGCCCCCAGTAGCTTTCCCTTAGAAGAGACCGCCCCAAGGACCCTAACAAGGGCGCTGGCGACTCGGGGGCTTTTCCAGTGAGAGCCACGTTCCAAGGGGCCCTCCCATGGACGGCAGCGCCCCCAGTGGCCTTCCCAGGGACGGCAGTGCTCTCAGGGGCCCTCTCAGGGACGGTAGCACCAACAGGGCCCTGTCAAGGGCTTTTCCAGGGACAGCTGCAATCCCAGGCACCCTCTCAGGAATGGAAGCGATCCAAGAGGCTCTCCTAGGGACATTGGCACTCCCAGGGGCCCTCTCAGGGAAGGTGGCGCCCTCAAGCGTCCCGTCAGGGGCGCTAGATCCCCCAAGGGATTTCACCGGGAAAGCTGCTCTCCTCGGGCCCCTACCAGGGACAGTGGCGCCTCCATTGTTTTGGGGCGCCGCCTCCCCTAGGAGGACCTATTGTAAACCATAGGCCTTGGCCGGGTCCCTGGGAGCAGTGGCGCCCCATAAAGAGGCTTGGGTGGAGCCACCGCCTCATGAAGGTACCCTGAATTCGCCATCGCCGAGGGCAGAGCCTCTGGGAGCACCACAGTCCGTAGGATTGTACCTGGAGGCGCCCCATGGATCATGGCTGTCCGTGTGAGGGCCCCTAGGGTCGCCAGTGGTTCTAGCAGGGCCCATGGGGGCGCCGCCGTCCCTGTGAGGGTCTCTAGGAGCGTTGCCGTCCCTGCAAGGGTCCCTTGGAGTGTTGCCGTCCCTGATAGGCCCATGGAAGCTCTGCTGTTCCTGGAGGAGCCCCTGTCAACGCCGCCTTCCCTGAGAAAGCCCCTAGGAGTACAGTTGTTCCTAAGACCGCCCCTGATGGATCCAGCGCCCCTGATAGGTCCCCTAGGGGCACAGTCGACGCTGAGAGGGCCCTGGGGAAGCCTCCGTGCCTTGCATGGCCAAGGGACCCACCACAGGGATAGCAACGATCCCAGGGTCCCTTACAGGGACAGGGGCGCATTCAGGGGTGTTCTCAGGGACGGCGGCACCACCAGGGGCCATACCACAGCGGTGGCGCATTCAGAGGCCTTCCAGAGGCGGTGTCTCCCCCAGGGTCCCTCTATGGGGCGCCTCTTCCCCCAAGGAGCCTGCCAGGGGCTGCGGCGCCCCTATGGGCCCTCCCAGGGCCGGCGGCGCTGTTATGGGCCCTCCGAATCTCAGTGGGTGCCTTTCCAGGGGAGGCAGGGTCTCTGACAAGGGCGACGGCCCCCATGGGCCCTTACACATGCAGCATCGCCCCAAGAACTTCATAGTTTTGTCGTACATTTTGCATTCGTCCAGTAATCCCTAACTTAAACGTGATTGGTGGAGTAAGATGTGACGTCATCAAATTACAGCCAATAGAAGAACAGAGTAATCAGTCAGCACAACACCCCAACTTATGCTTTGCTGTTGGATATTTATTCTCGTTTCACTATTTAAACTCTGGGGGATGTGACATTAAATAAATAAATAGACACTGCCCATAGCATTTTCAGTATTATCGCAACCAGAACAATGAAAAGGAGAATAAATATCCAACAGCAAAACATAAAATGGGGTGTTGTGCTGACTGATTCCTCTGTTTTCCTATTGGCTGAAATTTGATGATGTTACCTCTTATTCCACCAATCACAGTTAAGTAAGAGATTACTGGAAGAATGCAATATGTACGACACCACTATCCATTGTTTTGGTGCGCTGACTCCCCTAGGAGGACCTATTGTGAGCCACAGGTCTTTGCAGGGTCCCTGTGAGCAGAGGCGCCCCATAAAGAGGCCTGGGGGGAGCCACCGCCTCTGGAAGGGCCCCCAAAGGCGCCACAGCCGCTGGCAGGGCCTCTGGGAGCACCGTGGCAGCTAGGAACGTACCTGGAGGCGCCCCCTCCCTGGAAAGGCCCCAGGGATCATGACTGTCTCTGTGAGGGCCCCTAGGGTCGCCAGCGCCCCTAACAGGGCCCATGGTGGCGCCGCCGTCCCTGTGAGTGTCCTTAGGCGTGTTGCCGTCCCTGCGAAGTTCCCATGGAGCGTTGCCTCCCTGAGAGGCCCATGGAAGCTCGGCTGTTCCTGGCGGAGCCCCTGTCGACGCTGCTATCCCTGAGAAGGCCCCTAGGATTACAGTTGTTCCTAAGACCGCCCCTGGTGGCTCCAGCGCCTCTGACAGGTTCCCTGGGGGCACCACCGACCCTGAGAGGGTCCTGGGGGCGCCTCCGTGCCTTTAATGGCCAAGTGACCCACCACAGGGATAGCGGCGATCCGAGGGTCCCTTACACGCACGGGGGCGCCTTCAGGGGTGTTCTCAGGGACGGCGGCACCACCATGGGCCATACCACGGCAGTGGCGCATTTTCGATGCCCTTCCAAAGGCGGTGTCTCCCCAAGGGTCCCTCTATGGGGCAATTCTGCCCAAAATGACCCTGCCAGGGGCTGCAGCGCCCCAATGGGCCCTCCTAGGGTCGGTGGCGCTGGTATGGGCCCTCCTATTCATAGTGGGTGCCTTTCCAGGGACGGCAGGGTCTCTGCCATGGGCGATGGCGCCCCTAGAAACCCATCCACATGCAGCATCGTCCCAATAACTTCATAGTTTTGTCGTACATTTTTCATTCGTCCAGTAATCCCCTACTTAAACATGATTGGTGGAGTAAGATGTAACGTCATCAAATTACAGCCAATAGGAGAACAGAGCAAGCAGTCAGCACAACACCCCACCTTATGCTTTGCTGTTGGATATTTATTCTCGTTTCACTATTTGAAGTCTGGGAGATATGACGTTAAATAAATACACACTGCCCATAGCATTTTCAGTATTATCACAACCTGAACAATGAAAAGGAGAATAAATATCCAACAGCGAAACATAAGTTGGGGTGTTGTGCTGATTGATTGCTCTGTTTTCCTATTGGCTGAAATTTGATGATGTTACCTCTTATTCCACCAATCACAGTTAAGTAAGAGATTACTGGAAGAATGCAATATGTACGACACCACTATCCATTGTTTTGGTGCGCTGACTCCCCTAGGAGGCCCTATTGTAAGCCACAGGTCTTTGCAGGGTCCCTGGAAGCAATGGTGCCCCATGAAGAGGCCTGGAGGGAGCCACCGCCTCTGGAAGGGCCCTTGAAGGCACCACAGCCGCTGGCAGGGCCTCTGGGAGCACCGCGGCAGCTCGGAACGTGCCTGGAGGCGCCCCCGTCCCTGGAAAGGCCCCCAGGGATCATGACTGCCGCTGTGAGGGCCCCTAGGGTCGCCAGCGCCCCTAACAGGGCCCATGGGGGCGCCGCCGTCCCTGTGAGGGTCCTTAGGCGTGTTGCCGTCCCTACGAAGTTCTCATGGAGCGTTGCCTCCCTGGGAAGCCCATGGAAGCTCGGCTGTTCCTGGAGGAGCCCCTGTCGACGCTGCCTTCCCTGAGAAGGCCTTTAGGATTACAGTTGTTCGTAAGACCACCCTTGGTGGCTCCAACGCCTCTGACAGGTCCCCTATATGCACCGCCGACCCTGAGAGGGCCCTGGGAGCGCCTCCGTGCCTTGCATGGCCAAGTGACCCACCACAGGAATAGCGGCGATTCCAGGGTCCCTTACACGGACGGGGGCGCCTTCAGGGGTGCTCTCAGGGACGGCGGCACCACCAGGGGCCATACCACGGCAGTAACGCATTTTCGAGGCCCTTCCAAAGGCGGTGTCTCCCCAAGGGTCCCTCTATGGGGCACTTCTGCCCAAAATGACCCTGCCAGGGGCTGCAGCCCCCAAGTGGGCCCTCCTAGGGCCGGTGGCGTTGGTATGGGCCCTCCTAGTCATAGTGGGTGCCTTTCCAGGGACGGCAGGGTCTCTGCCAGGGGCGATGGCGCCCCAAAACCCCTTCCACATGCAGCATTGTCCCAAGAACTTCATAGTTTTGTTGTACATTTTGCATTCGTCCAGTAATCCCTTACTTAAACGTGATTGGTGGAGTAAGATGTAACGTCATCAAATTACAGCCAATAGGAGAACAGAGCAATCAGTCAGCACAACACCCCACCTTATGCTTTGCTGTTGGATATTTATTCTCGTTTCACTATTTGAAGTCTGGGAGATATGACATTAAATAAATACACACTGCCCATAGCATTTTCAGTATTATCGCAACCTGAACAATGAAAAGGAGAATAAATATCCAACAGCAAAACATAAGTTGGGGTGTTGTGCTGACTGATTGCTCTGTTTTCCTATTGGCTGAAATTTGATGACGTTACCTCTTATTCCACCAATCACAGTTAAGTAAGAGATTACTGGAAGAATGCAATATGTACGACACCACTATCCATTGTTTTGGTGCGCTGACTCCCCTAGGAGGACCTATTGTGAGCCACAGGTCTTTGCAGGGTCCCTGGGAGCAGTGGCGACCCATAAAGAGGCCTGGAGGGAGCCACTGCCTCTGGAAGGGCCCTTGAAGGCGCCACAGATGCTGGCAGGGCCTCTGGGAGCACCGCAGCAGCTAGGAACGTACCTGGAGGCGCCCCCGTCCCTGGAAAGGCCCCAGGGATCATGATTGTCGCTGTGAGGGCCCCTAGGGTCGCCAGCGCCCCTAACAGGGCCCATGGGGACGCCGCCGTCCCTGTGAGGGTCCTTAGGCGTGTTGCCGTCCCTGCGAAGTTCCCATGGAGCGTTGCCTCCCTGAGAGGCTCATGGAAGCTCGGCTGTTCCTGGAGCAGCCCCTGTCGACGCTGCCTTCCCTGAGAAGGCCCCTAGGATTACAGTTATTCCTAAGACCGCCCCTGGTGGCTCCAGCGCCTCTGACAGGTCCCCTGTATGCACCACCGAACCTGAGAGGGCCCTGGGGGTGCCTCCGTGCCTTGCATGGACAAGTGACCCACCACAGGGATAGCAACGATCCCAGGGACCCTTACAGGGATGGGGGCACCTTCAGGGGTGTTCTCAGGGACGGCGGTACCACCAGGGACCATACCACAGCAGTGGCGCATTTTCGAGGCCCTTTTAAAGGTGGTGTCTCCCTAAGGGTCCCCCTATCGAGCAATTCTGCCCAAAATGACCCTGCCAGGGGCTGGAGCATCCCAATGGGCCCTCTTAAGGCCAGCGGCGCTGGTATGGGCCCTCCTAGTCGTAGTGGGTGCCTTTCCAGGGACGGCAGGGTCTCTGCCATGGGCGATGGCGCCCCTAGAAACCCATCCACATGCAGCATCGTCCCAAGAACTTCATAGTTTTGTCGTACATTTTGCATTCGTACAGTAATCCCTTACCTAAACGTGATTGGTGGAGTAAGATGTAACGTCATCAAATTACAGCCAATAGGAGAACAGAGCAAGCAGTCAGCACAACACCCCACCTTATGCTTTGCTGTTGGATATTTATTCTCGTTTCACTATTTGAAGTCTGGGAGATATGACATTAAATAAATACACACTGCCCATAGCATTTTCAGTATTATCACAACCTGAACAATGAAAAGGAGAATAAATATCCAACAGCAAAACATAAGTTGGGGTGTTGTGCTGATTGATTGCTCTATTTTCCTATTGGCTGAAATTTGATGACGTTACCTCTTATTCCACCAATCACACTTAAGTAAGAGATTACTGGAAGAATGCAATATGTACGACACCACTATCCATTGTTTTGGCGCGCTGACTCCCCTAGGAGGATCTATTGTGGGCCACAAGTCTTTGCAGGGTCCCTGGGAGCAATGGCGTCCCATAAAGAGGCCTGGAGGGAGCCACCGCCTCTGGAAGGCGTCCCATCGGCTGGCGTTCATTAGCCAAGGAACCTCTGGGAGCACTTTCATGGGGTACAGAATCTACCTGAGGCGCCTCTGTCCCTGAAAGGCCCCCAGAAATCACACTGTTTCGCGTCTTAGAACGCCAGCGCCTTCATTAGGCCTCCAGTGGGGACGCCGCCGTCCCTGTGAGGGTCCTTAGGCGTGTTGCCGTCCCTGCGAAGTTCCCATGGAGCGTTGCCTCCCTGAGAGGCCCATGGAAGCTCGGCTGTTCCTGGAGGAGCCCCTGTCGATGCTGCCTTCCCTGAGAAGGCCCCTAGGATTACAGTTATTCCTAAGACCGCCCCTGGTGGCTCCAGCGCCTCTGACAGGTCCCCTGTATGCACCGCCGACCCTGAGAGGGCCCTGGGAGCGTCTCCGTGCCTTGCATGGCCAAGTGACCCACCACAGGAATAGTGGCGATCCCAGGGTCCCTTACACGGACGGGGGCGCCTTCAGGGGTGTTCTCAGGGATGGCGGCACCACCAGGGGCCATACCACGGCAGTGGCGCATTTTCGAGGCCCTTCCAAAGGCGGTGTCTCCCCAAGGGTCCCTCTATGGGGTACTTCTGCCAAAAATGACCCTGCCAGGGGCTGCAGCGCCCCAATGGGCACTCCTAGGGCCAGCGGCGCTGGTATGGGCCCTCCTAGTCGTATTGGGTGCCTTTCCAGGGACGGCAGGGTCTCTGCCATGGGTGATGGCGCCACTAGAAACCCATCCACATGCAGCATCGTCCCAATAACTTCATAGTTTTGTGGTACATTTTTCATTCGTCCAGTAATCCCCTACTTAAACATGATTGGTGGAGTAAGATGTAACGTCATCAAATTACAGCCAATACGAGAACAGAGCAAGCAGTCAGCACAACACCCCACCTTATGCTTTGCTGTTGGATATTTATTCTCGTTTCACTATTTGAAGTCTGGGAAATATGACGTTAAATAAATACACACTGCCCATAAAATTTTCAGTATTATCACAACCTGAACAATGAAAAGGAGAATAAATATCCAACAGCAAAACATAAGTTGGGGTGTTGTGCTGATTGATTGCTCTGTTTTCCTATTGGCTGAAATTTGATGACGTTACCTCTTATTCCACCAATCACAGTTAAAGAGATTACTGGAAGAATGCAATATGTACGACACCACTATCCATTGTTTTGGCGCGCTGACTCCCCTAGGAGGATCTATTGTGAGCCAAAAGTCTTTGCAGGGTCCCTGGGAGCAGTGGCGCCCCATAAAGAGGCCTGGAGGGAGCCATTGCCTCTGGAAGGGCCCCCAAAGGCGCCACAGCCGCTGGCAGGGCCTCTGGGAGCACCGCGGCAGCTAGGAACGTACCTGGAGGCGCCCCCGTCCCTGGAAAGGCCCCAGAAATCATGACTGTCGCTGTAAGGGCCCTTAGGGTCGCCAGCGCCCCTAACAGGGCCCATGGGGACGCCGCCGTCCCTGTGAGGGTCCTTAGGCGTGTTGCCGTCCCTGCGAAGTTCCCATGGAGCGTTGCCTCCCTGAGAGGCCCATGGAAGCTCGGCTGTTCCTGGAGGAGCCCCTGTCGATGCTGCCTTCCCTGAGAAGGCCCCTAGGATTACAGTTATTCCTAAGACCGCCCCTGGTGGCTCCAGCGCCTCTGACAGGTCCCCTGGGGGCACCACCGAACCTGAGAGGGCCCTGGGGGTGCCTCCGTGCCTTGCATAGCCAAGTGACCCACCACAGGGATAGCAACGATCCCAGGGACCCTTACAGGGACGGGGGCACCTTCAGGGGTGTTCTCAGGGACGGCGGCACCACCAGGGGCCATACCACGGCAGTGGCGCATTTTCGAGGCCCTTCTAGAGGGGGTGTCTCCCCAAGGGTCCCTCTATGGGGCACTTCTGCCCAAAATGACCCTGCCATGGGCTGCAGTGCCCTAATGGGCCCTCCTAGGGCCGGTGGCGCTGGTATGGGCCCTCCTAGTCATAGTGGGTGCCTTTCCAGGGACGGCAGGGTCTCTGCCATGGGCGATGGCTCCCCAAAACCCCTTCCACATGCAGCATCGTCCCAAGAACTTCATAGTTTTGTTGTACATTTTGCATTCGTCCAGTAATCCCTTACTTAAACGTGATTGGTGGAGTAAGATGTAACGTCATCAAATTACAGCCAATTGGAGAACAGAGCAAGCAGTCAGCACAACACCCTAACTTATGCTTTGCTGTTGGATATATATTCTCGTTTCACTATTTGAAGTCTGGGAAATATGACGTTAAATAAATACACACTGCCCATAACATTTTCAGTATTATCACAACCTGAACAATGAAAAGGAGAATAAATATCCAACAGCAAAACATAAGTTGGGGTGTTGTGCTGATTGATTGCTCTGTTTTCCTATTGGCTGAAATTTGATGACGTTACCTCTTATTCCACCAATCACAGTTAAGAGATTACTGGAAGAATGCAATATGTACGACACCACTATCCATTGTTTTGGTGCGCTGACTCCCCTAGGAGGACCTATTGTGAGCCACTTGTCTTTGTAGGGTTCCTGGGAGCAGTGGCGCACCATAAAGAGGCCTGGAGGGAGCCACTGCCTCTGGTGAATGTAAGAATACACATGTTGGCTGTCTCAACTGTAAGAGAAACGGGAATGCATACATAGGACATAGGACGTTAGCAATGGCATGCCCAATAAAAAAACACATGATAAAGTACAAGGAACAAGAAACAAGGAAAAAGGAACAAGACAAGAAGGATACGACATACGTCGAAATAGCCAAGAGAGCGGTCCAAGAGGCTCATAGACCAGAATCCACCATATTAAACCTAAGTGAGCCAATACATGATAAGGTAATGATTAGTATGATCCATGCACATTTCCACAATATCATTGCACCCGGATCATACAATGAGGAATTAAGGAAAATGTTTAAATTGAATAGCCTACCAGAGATGATATTTCCAGAGAATCCACAATCCGAAAAACTATTTCAGGCAACATATGCAAGCGAACTGAGAGAAAGACTACATCTAGACGAACAA